GCACATAATCACGCCTTATCACCAATCATGTTATTTCCTCATGTATTGCGCCATAACGTCAAGGAGCCAGATTCGAGTACTGGAGAATAACCGACTGTAAACAAAACGCCATCGAACGAACGCTGGTGAACAGATATCAATGGTAGAAAGAGTCGACCGCTACAGGAGGCAATTTCCATGAGACAAGTTCGTAATACACTGATATTATCTTTCAACCAGTTCAAGTTTCGGTTCAGTGAGGTGATGTTTTGTACGCTATAATCATTTTATTTTGATGCCATTAGAAACCAAGTGCCAAATACAGTGCAATGAAATCCCTGACGCGATTATTGAATGCTGAAGAGTTCGAAAATATGAACGACCTTGACACTAGGCTACGCGTTATGGGTTATAGAGCAGGAAGTTGAGGCGTCTGTTATTAAATTATTCGGCCATGCTTAGAGGTGACTCGAGAGGCTATATGACACACACACACCCACCCACACACACCCTCCCGGCAGTACACGAGAAGATTATTTACTTACAAACACGAGGTGATCATTATGGAACACACCTGACCTATCAGCAGCACCTGGAACAAGCCATATTGGAGCTTACACTAAGGGACAACAAAACCCATTATCCGTCAACCTCAACAGTGGGGGGCTTGTTACGTCACCCACCACCACATCCCTAATTTACTAAGGTGAAACTGGGAGGTGGGGAAGGGTCATGTTGAAGCAGGATGTTACCTTCACCTGCCCCTCACCCCCCCCCCCCCTCCTCCTGCAGGTTATAACTACACCCTTTCCCCGAGTTGTAACACCTGGGATGTTCTCACCTGCCGCTGTACTCACAGGTGGGGCGACACAGTGGGTACAAGAGGTATTGGTAACACTATAGTTACGTCATCACAACTGGGGTGGGGAGGGGAGGTTACTTGTCATTTAGGTATTATGTATGTGTTATAATGTTGGTCTTTACTATCACTGCTTTGTTGTAACACGTATCTATTGGCTCGTACTATCTAGCCCCGTTTACACCCAACTTATATTCGAAGCTATACACCACGTTAATGATGATGTTTGGTAACTTGTTCCACTACTCTATTTCCATACCAGTGTTTACCTATCGCGCCTATTGCTTACAGTGTTATAATGTTGTTACTGTACTACAATAACTAAGGTCGGTCCACACTCTTGAACACGGTAGTCATAGACGAGCTGTGACCCAATAACTGCCTCCTGGTTGGTACTTATAGCCGGAAGTCACTCATGAAGGGCAGTCTAGGTTGGGTATTTGTTTGCATGTGTTAGTATGTGTACGTAATTGTGTGCATGCATGTGTGTAGGTTGTTTGGTGGTGTTTGAGATATATCAAGTGTTTACAGGTCGTTTAGTACGGTAGCAAATAGCAGTAGTGTGTATTGTCTATTTACCAGGTTGCAGGGACTAGTGGTAATCTAGTACGCTGTCACTACTACACTAATACCGGGAACTGGGTCACTACCAGATGTTCACCTCAAATTTATAAACATAGATGGATCACCTGAAAATTACATACCCTTAATTATCTGGATCACCTGAAAATTACATACCCTTAATTATCTCACCTGTTGATTTAACATAAGAACATAAGAATGGAGGAAACTGCAGCGGGCCTATTGGTCCATATTGGGCTGTCCCGTTTACACCCAACCCCTATTGCTCATATAAGCATCCAACCTATGTTTGAAGCTTTCCAGCGTATTCGAGTTAATGACGATATTTGGTAAATTGTTCCATTCATCCACTACTCTGTTTCCAAACCAGTGTTTACCTATTTCGCGCCTAAATCTAAATTTGTCTTAATTTAAAACCATTGTTACGAGTTCGCTCCTGGTTGGATAGTTTGAGGACCTTTGTAATGTCCCCTTTGTTTAGCCCTGACTTCCATTTATACACCTCTATCATGTCACCCCTCGCTCTACGTCTCTGGAGGGAATGCAAATTAAGATGCTTTAACCTGTCTTTGTATTCAAGGTTCCTGATGCCCTAACTCTACCTAGGGGGATTAGGTTAGGTTAAGGGTCTTTAATCACCAGTTGAAATAAACCAGGTTATCTCAAGGTGGTGCAAATACAGTAATAAAACAGTAAGGTAGGTGTGTGTGTGTGTGTGTGTGTGTGTGTGTGTGTGTGTGGTCTCTCGCCTTCCTGCACCACACTTCCAGGAAACAGTTCACGTCCTTCCAGATAATATCCTACACCTGTTTTATCTATTTCTCGTTCATGTGATAATTAAATGCAAGGGTTAGGTTAGGTTAGCGCTAGGGTGGTTAATGTAATAAATTAAAGTGGGGACGGTTTTTTTTTAGAGAAAGGAGGGTGAAGGAAGATTAGACGTGGGGAAAGGAAGTTATAGTTCGGAAATTGAAGAAATTTAGGAGGAGGTAAGAGAGGGCGGGCTGACCGCCCAGCTAAGCTAATAGTGTGTTTGGGTTGTGTCATGGGTCTGTCGGTACAGGCACTAGACAGCCTACCCTGTCCCGTTTATGGGTGTTTTAAGGGCCTTATTTCATATTCCGCGTGTGGGGTCAGGTGGAGGTGGGGTCAGGTACGGTGGGATGGGGTTGGGTCGGAGGTAGGTCAGGGTATAGGGTGGGGTCTGGTCGGGGTGGGGTCTGGTCGGGGTGGGGTCTGGTCGGGGTGGGGTCTGGTCGGGGTGTGATTAGAGGTGAGGTGGGGTAGGGTCGGAGGTAGAGGTGGAACTAACCTTGAAATCACCCCCACAACTGTACAATAACTGATAACATTCTTGCTTCACTTATCATCAGTCAAAGATAAGTGAGACGTCTGGCCACTTTAGCTATTTATCTTCTTATTGTAATTATCTGGACAAAAATATGAATTATTTGGAGATTAGGCACATCCCCTCCCTAACCCCTCCCCTAACAATTAACCTAGTTACGTTATATTAGGTTAGGTTTGGTTGTGTGATTTCATCTTACCTTGACCGGATGTGACGTGGTTTGGTTTTCACGAGGTGTTCCAGACGCTTTTGTTTTGTGCGCGTCTTACTCTTGATATATTGACTTTAATTCCATAAACAACAGTAATATCTTCAAAAATGGCGTCAACTTTGCACCGAGACTCTATCTTAATTACTTAACGAACACTCAGTATTTATATTGTGTGCTAATTGGTGGTGAGTGAACGTTTGTAAATATTTTGATCACCTGAAGTTTTGCTGTATCTCTCCCAGCTTATTTCAGCTTAAAAGATTAAAGCACCTTAACGCCAACCTAACCTAACGCTATCCTAACATAACGCCAACCTAACTTAACGCTATCCTAACATAACGCCAACCTAACCTAACGCTAACCTAACCTAACGCTATCCTAACCTAACCTAAGGTATAGTTAGGGTGTGTTTGTTTTAATCATCAGGTGAATTAAGCTGACGAGGTGGCTAATCTTCAGGTGATTATGAAGGTGCAATTAGTGTCATACATAGGAACAGAAATGAGGTTCGTATCGTATCCGAAGTACCAAACACGACAGGTTTACTCGGGAAGGTCTACTGGTACTGACACTGGACTATGAAGCACCGAACGCAACACAGACCGACAGACAAACCGACCGACAGACCGACAGTGGAATGAGAAATAAAGTGATTAATTATCTCAAATGCGTGTGCAGGTTAGTGGATCAGCAACACCATTTCCGTCTTTTAATTATATTTTCCTTGTTCGTGAGAGAGCCCATCTGAATATTTTCCCAACCTCCAGCACACTAATTCACTTTTTAATGGCACTGTGAATTTATATCTCATTAATCACCTGAGGTTCAAACACCCTAACGCTAATGGGATGGATGGGGGTCGTAACCAGCAGGATAACCCAGGTCAAGCAAGGTCAAATGATATAAAAGAATGTTATCTGTCCTCTGCCGTTATCAGCTGCTAGCGACAAGACCCACCGCCTGTTATCATGAGCCGGAGATAATAGTAATAGTGCTAGTGAAGAGTGACTGACGGGTTATGTAAGGTTTGTTGTGTTGGGGGGGGCGACGAGTGTGAGAAAGTAAGAGTGAAGGAAGGGAGAGAGAGTGAAGGAAGGGAGGGATTGAAGGGAGGGATGGAGTGAAGGAAGGGAGGGCGTGAAGGAAGGGAGAGAGTGTGAAGGGAGGGAGAGAGTGAAGGAAGGGAGGGAGTGTGAAGGAAGGGAGGGAGAGAGTGAAGGAAAGAAGGGAGAGAGTGAAGGAAGGAAGGGAGGGAGTGAAGGAAGGAAGGAAATGTTTATTTTTTATCTCCAGAAAAAACCCAAATAAGACAAATTTCGCTTTAATTTAACTTTTGAGCGACGGTGAATTTGTTAAACTTTGATAAATCTTAACATTTCAGTGAATATAATTTTTTACTTTCAATTTAAATTTAACATAAACTATTGTGGATATTTTTCGAGGGGAGGTATTGAATGTGTGTGTGTGTGTGTGTGTGTGTGTGTTAAATACATACAATTTCGGGGACCACCTAAAGATTCGCCCCTTGCTTATTCCACCTAATATTTAACGACCCTATTGTTTCCTGCGATGGTTAGGTTAGGTAAGTTAGTGTTAGGTTAGGTAAGTTAGTGTTAGGTTAGGTAAGTTAGTGTTAGGTTAGGTTAGTTAGTGTTAGGTTAGGTAAGTTAGTGTTAGGTTAGGTAAGTTAGTGTTAGGTTAAGTAAGTTAGGGTTGGGTTAGGTTAGGTAAGTCAAGGTTAGGTTAGTGTTAGGGTGGTTACTCTGCAGATGAAGTAAGCTGGGGGAGGGATCTTCAGATAAACCGAGTATTGCATCAATGAAGGAACTGTAGTTTTACAGCGAGAAAAAAAATTGAAAGTTTTCGTTTAACATATTGTTGTGTATATATAGATTGTCAGTGTATAATCTAGTCTGAAAGTGAGTAATATATATAGTTTTTCAGCCTAACCTAAACAAATATCCATCATAATAAATCAGAATTTCGTAAGAGAAACTGAAAAAAAAAGTTTGTAGACTTACCCCTGAATGGTAATAGTTTCACTCGGCTGCTCCTGAAGGTGGATGATGCTGTCATTGTTATCTTCCTTGGCGGAGGCGGAGGAGGTGTTAGTCACGATCAAGTTTTTGAGAAGAGAACTCATGTTTGTGTGTGGATGGTAGAGAGATTGGGACTGTGTTGCTGTGCGTCTGTTCTCCACCGAGTGTGTGAACTGACTGATGAAACTCGGTTGGCCTTACAACATTAGGGTGGAGCATTGCTGCCACATGTATACATTTACAACCTTTTTTTCTTAACAATTCCTCTTGTCTAAACATTATTTTATGGTTGGTAATTATTATAAATAAACGTTAGTTGTTGTTACCATTACAGATTTAAAGGAATCATTCATGTGAATTAATGTATATGATTATTGGGTACATACAACCAGACACGCCTCTGAATCCCTGCTGTCTGATTGGCTGATTCACCTCGAACTCGTCACAGCAAAGTGGAATCCTGCGATCACGTAGCTGAAGTTTCTAAGTATTGTGCACGTCATGAAAATATGTTACGTGCGTCAACACATCCAGTTAGGTTATGTTTTTACGCCGCCTTCATTATAGGTCCGAACCGCCACTTCTCATATATTATTTTTAAACAGGTAGAATCCTGTTCCCAAACAAATTATCAAACACTGACACATGCTAACAAAACTGATCTCTTGTTGAACCAGTTTAGAGGTTTGTGATGTGTCTAAATAGAGAGGCTGGGTTTTCCTCTTGGCATAACCCAATCCTTTGACGTTTATCTCGTGTGACTCTTGGTAACACCCCTGTCTTGTGGGGAATATTGTTGTAGTAATGGAAATATGTCACTGTGAAGAAAAACTCGGTCGTTATTGTGGAATTAACGTGAATAATATTTTAATTTCTACAATAATATATATATACTAACTCATGTACGGTACAGCGGTGTCGTCCTTACCACACACACAGTGGTTAGTTACCCTGTCACTAGTCCAGCATCTGACAGGGTGTTTGAGTGCAAGAAAAAGGTACCCGAAATTTCTCTTTGGATTGTGAAAAGAAAGATATTGGAAGGTCGGGAAAATGTCAGATCTCTAGATATTGTACACGTTGTCAACTTGTTAGGAAAATGCGTACCGTAACAGATTCTAGGAAAAGGTAGGTCGTTGTTAATCTGAGGCACAGAACGTTTCACGGACACTAATGGTTTGCACACCCACACGAGGTTATGGATAAGCTGTTACATTAACATAGATGTTTCCTTAACTTCAGCTGTACAGGAAAGAGGGTCATCCATCACTAGATACTCTCCTCCATCTGTTATTCCATGTTGACGGGTTTATACATCAATAACTGACAGAGACAGTGTGGTGATGTGACAGACAGTGTGGTGATGTGACAGACAGTGTGGTGATGTGACAGACAGTGTGGTGTGGTGATGTGACCGAAGTAACCTCATATATAATCCACAAGGCTTTAAATAATGTTGTAGTGTGTGAACCATTAATGAAAGATCAACTTCATGTAGTTCCAACAATAACTACCACCAGAAACCTGTAAGTGAATAAAAGCAAATTATATGAACAGATATTGGCGTTGGTAATTAAACTATTAAAGACACGAAGCCACTTTGATGTTGTAACCAAGAATTGAAGACCTAAGGGGTCGAGTCTTGTCCTAGACACTCGCTAACACACTACCTAACTGTTTAATGAGATATGTTTTATTAAAGGTGTGGTAAGAATAATAAGTCTTATAGTTACAATGAAATGGTTTTCCCAGACTGACCCATGGTATAGAATATAACTAAGGCGGGATAATAAATTGAGAGAAAGAAAATATATTAAATCTGGAAAATACAATAATATATATATATGACACAAGGAATAAAGTATAGAAAAGAATATTGACTTAGAAAATATAAGCAAAGAAATATAAGATAGATACTTATAGACAGACTAAGAAAATAAGATTAATAGAAAATATAGATATGAATCAAGTATATAAGTACTGAAGAATAGATAGGATAAATATGAAGTAAAAACTAGCCCCTTACAACGGCACCGACTTGACCAGACTTGAACATTGAGGAGCTGGTGTATACAAGCCAACAGTGTGTAACAGAGTCAGTACATGTCCAGTACTAGCCAACAGTGTGTAACAGAGTCAGTACATGCCCAGTACTAGCCAACAGTGTGTAACAGAGTCAGTACATGCCCAGTACTAGCCAACAGTGTGTAACAGAGTCAGTACATGCCCAGTACTAGCCAACAGTGTGTAACAGAGTCAGTACTGTACTAGCCAACAGAGAGTCAGGTACTATTCCGCTTACTAGTGTGGGCCGTTCGGGTTTACGAAGTAGAAAACGATATAGTGGGGGTGACTGCTGAAAATATCAAAGCCTTCTCTTGGGGAAGTTATTGCTAGGTACTAATCGCTGCCCACTGTGGAGTTTATTTAATATATGGAAGTGTTGATTTATTTGGTGAAAGAAAACACATTTGTATACAGGATTTTGTTAGTAATTACTGCACATATAAAAATATGAAGAAAAAAATAAAAATAAACACTTCAATACACCATTAGTGACGCCTCATATTTCTGGCTGTGTGAACTGTTAACCAAGGTGTGAGCTTAACGACCATCTTTAGTGGTTAGAGCGCAGTGATGATATTATACAACGGCAAAAGTAAACTGAGTATCTTGTTAACTATTGACCAAGGGATTGTTACCAACCTGTCCCCAACCACTGCTCTCACCATGACACGACACACATGACACGACACACATGATACGACACACACATGATACGACACACACATGATACGACACACACATGATACGACACACATGATACAACACATGACACGACACACATGATACAACACACATGATACGACACACATGATACAACACATGACACGACACACATGACACGACACAATACAATGAAACAACACACACGACGCAACACACGCGACACAACAACACACACACACGACACAACAACACACACACATGACACAATACAATATTTTCAGATGTTTCTTCCTGGAAGGTGAGCCAGTGTCAGATTAGTAACCACCACCACATCACCACCACCCCCACCACCACCCCCACCACCACCACCACCCCCACCACCACCACCACCCCCCACCACCACCACCACCCCACACCACCCCCACCACCCACCACCACCACATCCACCACCACCACCCACCCCACACCACCACCCACCACCACACACCACCACCACCACCACCCCCACCACCACATCCACCACCACATCACCAGTGTTATAGGACCTTTAGTGTTGTGAAAATATTGTTAGTTATTGTAGTTTGGTTTATAATAACTTTGGTACATCATTAGTTTGCCCGTGATATGCCCTCTATGCAGTTGACGCCACGGGGGGTCAGGTCAGGTCAGGTCAGGTCAAGCTCGAAATAAGGACAGAGCAATCAGTATATTGTCTAAGTAAGATATATTTTGTATTAGTGAGCCTGATAAATACTTGTAGCTGACACTGGTCTATTTTGTCCACAGGTCGAGGCAGCAGTACAAGGTAAGTACACACTGTCCTTTTTAAGAGGTTTCGAGTACTACCACAGGGTGCAACTCGGACATATGCACACTGAAAGTTATTAAATACTTTCAGATATATAAAATCCTCTTAATTCACTAATGTTACTTTAATAATTTTAAATGGAAAAATAAATCGAGTGAATAAATAATTTAAATATTCAGCCTTGCTTTATCAGGAGTAGATTTTTTTTTTATTGCACGTATCTTACTAACACTATTGACCGTTCAGTACCAGAGACCTAGCGGTGGTAGTGGGAAGTGCTGAGGTGAAGCAAGGCTGGAGTCATGATAGCTGTAGGGTTAGGTTAGGTTAGGTTAGTGTCTTGGGTTGGGTTAGTAATTAGGTTAGTTGGGTTAGTAATTAGGTTAGGTTAGTGTCTAGGTTAGGTTAGTAATTAGGTTAAGTTAGTGTCTAGGTTAGGTTCGGTTAAGGTAGTGTCTACGTTAGGTTAGGTTAAGGTAGTGTCTACGTTAGGTTAGTGTCTAGGTTAAGGTAGTGTCTACGTTAGGTTAGTATCTAGGTTAGGTTAGGTTAAGGTAGTGTCTACGTTAGGTTAGTATCTAGGTTTGTTTACAAGTGGAACTAACTTATAAAATTTTTTGTTAGAATGTCATTGTTGATTGTAATGTTTTTGTTTCAGATGGAGGTAAGGTTTTTGTGTTTTTATTCCAGTATATATATGTGATGTTTCAGGTGTAGATGATATATGTGTGTTATTTCTGTTTATTACATATATATGTGTGAAGTTTATTTCAGGTGAAGTTAAGGTAATACATTTATTTCAGGGACAACACATACAAACTTTATTTCCAGATGATGATATTGTATCAGTGGTTTTGTTTTTTAGCGCTCCTTACAACTACTAATAGCATTTGTTTGGGGAATATCTCTGGTGATTGGTATTTGTGTGTGTGTGGTGAGTCAGGGCGTAGTGTCGTGGCAATTGAGTATTTAACGCCAGGAAGGTGACGATGATGATGATGATGATGATGATGATGATGATGATGATAAAACGTGAGGTTCGAGTAACCTTGTGTCTACTAATCATTGAACTTGAGCATTCTTAGTGTGATTTATGGCTCACAGCTTTATATTCATGACACACACACACACACACACACATATGCAAGATTATTCTCTCCCCTTCCTACTCCACATATCAAGAAGCGCTCAACACACTGACCCTTTCGACTCTCACTGACCATCACCACGACCTCATCTGCAAATTTGGTAAGAAGCTTCAGCATCATCCTCGACACCGGCTCCTACTACCACCTGAGATCCCTCGCCCGAGAATTGCTGTTCGACACCACAACCGCATCCAGCCCATACGTGCACGAACTGATCGCTATAAGAACAGCCCAGTCCCAACCATTGTAAAAATTATCAATAACTTGTAATAAACCAGTGTATTCACTCCCAGTAAATACTACTCCTTGCACTGTCACTATGTTGAAATGCACTGTAGTTTGAGCTTTTCCCCATCTAGTTATTATATATTTTATTTATATCACTTATGTTATTTGTATATTATTTGTAATTCGTAACCCATTCCCCAATTATGTAACTGTATATTTTCAGCCTTCTGGCTGCCAAGCTCTTTCAATAAACCGTTAATTATTATTATTATTATTATT